TTGTGAGTAACGCGTTGTGGGTGACGCTTTCGGTGGAACCCGCTATGGGGCCACGAGACGCGTGAGGGACGTGCCGAAATGGGTGGGGGAGACGCATGCGGACGGTGCCACTGGGGCCTTCGGTGGGGCTCCCCATGAGCCACCATGGGCCACGAAACGCTGTACTTGGTGAGGCTGACGCATGCGGGCGGTGCCCCCTGCTGGAGCTCCCGATGAGGCCACGAAGCGCTGTACTGGTCGGGGGGAACGCATGCGGGCGGTGCCGGTGGGGTCTTTCTCTGGAGCTCTCTACGGGGCCACGAAACGCTGTACCGGGAAGGGGGGCGCATGCGGGCGGTGCCAGTGGGGCCTTTCGGTGGAGCTCCCTGTGGGGCCACGGAAGAGGGGGACGCATGCGGGCGGTGCCACTTGGGCCTTCGGTGGAGCTCCCCATGAACCCACGAAGCGCTGTACTGGGTGTGGCTGACGCACGCGGGCGGGCTACTGGAGCTCCCTACGGGGCCACGAAACGTTGTGCTGGGTGGTGGCTAACGCATGCGGGCGGTGCCACTGGAGCCTTCGGTGAAGCCCCATTGTGGGGCCACGAAGCGTTGTGCTGGGTGGTGGCTGACGCATGCGGGCGGTGCCACTGGTGCCTTCGGTGAAGCCCCCTTATGGGGCCACGAAACGCTGTGCTGGGTGTTGGCTGACGCATGCGGGCGGTACCACTGGGAACTTCGGTGGAGCTCCCTACGGGGGCTCGAAAGCTGTGCTGGGTGGTGGCTGACGCATGCGGGCGGTGCCACTGGTGCCTTCGGTGGAGCCCCCTATGCGGGAGGGTGGCCGTTGAATCCTCGACGGCCGTGGTTTATCATGTCGGAATGAAATCCTAGGTTCATTATCTGCAAATGATGCCCTACGGATTATTGTCCTGTGGATGGATCGGGCGCAGCCCCCCCCCGGCCGAATCACTATCTTTCTGGAATAAGCAACCTAAGTTGAATATTCCGACATTATGAACCAAAGTTTCTTTCATGCCAGAACGTACCCCCAAACGGCGCCCCCCAGGCTCAATCATTATCATTCCAGAATAAGTAACCCCGGGTCAATAATCCAGGAACATTATGAATCCAAGTTTCTTGCAGCTCCCCCCTCCTGGCCGAAGCATTATCTTTCCGGAACAATCAACCGAAGTTCAATACTCCAACATGATGAGCCAAGGTTTATTTCAGGCCAGAACGTACCCTCAAACGGCGACCCCCAGGCTGGGACCCAGGGTCAATAATCCGGGAACATTACGAATACAGGTTTATTATCTCCAGGAGATACTGAACCGGGGTCGATATTCCGACATGAAACACCTTGTGAGGAACCGGGGTGGTGGTGGGAAAGTAATAAGTACTATCATTCCCGAATGACGAAAACCGAGTTCATTATTCCCTGGACATTGTCAAGCCCAGTCAACCTTCCCGGAACATTATGAACATAGGTTCATATGTTGACGGGGTCGATATCCGCAGAAAAGTAGAAACCAGGGTTTATAATGTTCCGGGGGGGACAGTATGAACCCCAGCCAATATTCCCAGAACGTTAAAACCAAGGTTCATAATGTTCGGGGCGAGACATTCTGAACCCTGGTCAACAATCCCAGAACATTAGAAGCCCAGGTGAAATATCTATTTGAGGTCCATCCTGTTATGGAGCCACGAAACGCTGTGCTGCGTGGTGGCTGACGCATGCGGGCGGTCCCGCTGGGACCTTCGGTGGAGCTCCCTATGGGGCCACGAAACGCTGTACTGGGTGGTGGCTGACGCATGCGGGCGGTCGCACTGGGACCTTCGGTGGAGCCCCTTTTATGGGGCCACGAAACGCTGTGCTGGGTGGTGGCTGACGCATGCGGGCGGTGCCACTGGGACCTTCGGTGGAGCTCCCTGTGGGGCCACGAAACGCTGTACTGGGTGGTGGCTGACGCATGCGGGCGGTACCACTGGGGCCTTCGGTGGAGCTCCCTACGGGGGCACGAAAAGCTGTACTGGGTGGTGGCTGGCGCATGCGGGCGGTACCACTGGGGCCTGCGGTGGGGCCCCATTGTGGGGCCACGAAACGCTGTGCTGGGTGGTGGTTGACACATGCGGGCGGTGCCACTGGGAACTTCGGTGGAGCTCCCTATGGGGCCACGAAGCGCTGTACTGGGTGGGTGAAACGCAGGGAGGAGGGAGGAGAGGGAGGAGGGGGAGGAGGAGGAGGCAAGCTAGGTGCGTTCGCGTCATATCTGACGTCCTACCCCTCCCTCCCATCCCTTACCATGGCGCTGATTTTCTCGATCCGCGGACGCGTGTCGTAGCGGACCTGTGGCTCCGCGCGCGCGTGCGTAGTGGGTGGTGGTGCACGTGCGTGCGTGCGTGCGTGTGTGCGTGGTTGTCGTGGTGGTGGTGGTGGTGGTGGTGGTGGTAGTGGTGGTGGGTGGTGGGTGGTGGGTGGTGGGTGGGTGCTGGTGGTGGTGGTGGTGCTGGTGGTGGGTGGTGGTGGTGGTGGTGGTGAGGTGGTGGTGGTGCTGGTGTGGTGGTGCTGGTGGTGGTGGTGTTGGTACTGGTGCTGGTGCTGGTGGTGGTTGTGGTGGGTGGTGGTGGTGGTGGTGGTGGTGGTGGTGGCGGTGCGGCGCGGTGGTGGCGGGCGGATGGGCGCGCGAGAAAGAGGCCCGCGCTGGGGCGAGAACGCCATCCTGAACGACGGAGGCCAAACACCGATCCGAAAATGAGGCCCACGCTGCAGCGGGAGCACGATTCGGAACGATTCGGGAGCAGAAATGAGGCCGGCGCCTCAACGAGAGCAGCATTTTGGGAAAAAATGACGCCGGCGCCTCAGCGAGAGTCGTTTCCCGGGATTTTCCGGGCATCCTGTGTGTAAAAAAACAGTACGCGGAGGGTGCGCGGCTATCACCCGGACGCCATCAGGGGAAGGATTCGGGAGCAGAAATGAGGCCGGCGCCTCAACGAGAGCAGCATTTTGGGAAAAAAACGCCGGCGCGAGAGCAAAGTCGTTTCCCGGGATTTTCCGGGCATCCTGTGTGTAAAAAAAAAAAAAAAAAACGCGGAGGGTGCGCGGCTATCACCTGGACGCCATCAGGGGAAGAGGGAGAGTATATTCATATTGAGTAATTGTAGAGGAGGAGGGGGAGGAGGAGGAGGAGGAGGAGGAGGAGGAGGAAGGAGGAGGAGGAGGAGGAGGAGGAAGAGGAGGAGGAGGAGGAGGAGGGACGCGGGGCGCTGTCCCTTCGAAACGGGGACCCAACACCACAGGATGGTTGGGAAAAAACCAGTGAAGGGGGTCCGGCGCAGATCCAAGAAATCCGCGCGGAGTGCCAAACAGTTCATGTTCATGGAGTTTTTTCTTCCTCGAAATATGAATGCCCGTGCGCACAAATACGGAGAGAGCGGCGCCTGTCTCGTGACGCACGCAGATGCAGTCGCCAGATCGTGGGCGGGCCGCGGGCGTTACCGCGAAAAAAAAGGGGAGCTGACCCATATCAGCGTTGCACTGGCATGCAAACACCGATCTCGGGAAGCGCCCCTGCCACACACTGATGGAGATGCCCGCGCGCACGTGGTGAGCGATTTCTGCTTTGGCGTTTCGACATTGAGCGTACATGGGGGGGGGAGGGGGGGGGGGGGCTTTGGACCTCTGCTTAATACGACTGTCTGCGACAGTGCGTTCTGTGAGGGAGGCCTCTACCTGCTCGAAACAGCGCCAAAAACAGCCAAGATCTATTACATAGGGGGCGGGGGGGAGGGTGCGAGGGCCCGCGCCGATCGGCAAAATAATGAATAAGAAAACGACGACATGTATGGCGGCGCCCGTCTCTCACGACGCACGCAGATATGCAGTCGTTGGAGCGCGGGCGGGCCCGCGGGCACGCTCGGGGCTGAGATTCTCGGAACTCGGGCCCGACGGCCGGCTTGCCTGCCGTTCCACCTGGGCACTCCTGCGCTTAGGTCGGGCATGTCCCCTTACAGGGGGATTTCGGACGATAACTAAACAAAATCCAAACATATACTCCGAAAGTAATCATAGAAATGTTTTAGAAAATCGCCCCCTGACTACTGCTTAACTATTCGGGAATATTTCTCCTGTAGAGGGGCAGGCCCGATTTAATCTTGCACCTCCCTGATCGGGGGAACTTGCCTGGCGATCGCTCTGGATGGGCCGGTGGGGATACCTTTTGCTCGCAACCGCAAGCGGACAGCCGTGCGGCGTCGTAGAGTCGCACGAAGGCCAGGCCTAAAACGGCCAGGACTGAAGCCAGGCACGCCGGTGGGGATATTTTTTCTTGGTCGGCGGTTCCGCGGCGGCGGACAGGGAGCGGAAGGCGTCGTCTGGGCCAGCAGGCGAGGCCAATTAGCTACAACAGGCAACGCACCTGCAGTACTAACTCGGAAAAAAAGAAAAAGCGAATGTGCACATGCATTAAGCAAAATGCTCCACATTAAGGCGAACGCACCTAGGCGCCAGCCGCACAGAGGTGAAGAAGCCGCAGTGCTACGCAGAGGAAGAGTCGCCCTGTCGGCGCCAGTCCGCGCACCGAAGCGACACGCTTAAGGCTGAACCACTCAGCGCGAGGTACCACCGCCGTACGCGGGATCGGCAGAGACAGGGCAGGGACCTACAGAGCTCTCACTCCACGATCCACACCGCTGCCCATGGTGGGGCCGGTGCGTCTGCCATCGTTCCGGAACCAGCCAGTGGGGATACGCGAAGCGTCAAGAGATATGGCTCCCTCCGTCTGCTCCCGTGCGCTCTTTCCTCCCTCCTGTTTGGTGGGAGCAGGAAAAAAGGAGAAGAGAGGAGGTGGACGTTGAAGGGGAGAGAAGAAGGGAAGAGAGGAAGAGAGAGGAAAGGAGATTGGGGAGAAGAAAGGGAGAAGAAAGAGGAGGAGAGGGGAGGAGGGGGGGCGAAGAGAGAGGAGTAGGTGGAAGGACAAGGGCGAAGGAACGGGGACAGAGAGACAGAGATAAACGCGCGGC